TGTACTACAAAGTCGCCAGTTCTCAGCTTCCAGCTCCACAGATTACTCCGCGTACTAAAGTTGCACTACAAAGTCGCCAGTTCTCATCTTCCAGCTCCCCAGAGACTCCGCGTGCTCAAGTTGTACTACAAAGTCGCCAGTTCCCAGCTTCCAGCTCCACAGATTGCTCCGCGTACTGAAGTAGCACTAGAATGTCGCCAGTGCCTGCATTTCGCGCACTCGACACGCACGATCTCCGCAGAGGGTTGCGCGCACACCGGACAAATCGCACTCTCGCCTGCATTTCGCACACTCGACACGCACGATCTCTGCAGAGGGTCGCGTGCTCATTTCACAAATCGCGCTCTCGCCTGCGTTTCGCGCACTCGACACGCACGATCTCCGCAGAGAGTTGCGCGGTAATTTCACAAATCGCGCTCTCGTCGCCTGCATTTCGCGCACTCGACACGCGCGATCTCCGCAGAGGGTTGCGCGGTAATTTCACAAATCGCGCTCTCGCCTGCATTTCGCGCACTCGACACGCGCGATCTCCGCAGAGGGTTGCGCGGGCAGCCGGTGAATCGCACTCTCGCCTGCATTTCGCGCACTCGACACGCACGATCTCCGCAGAGGGTTGCACTTTCGGTTGACGCTGTTCGTCCCACCCTCCGCCTTTAAGAGAGAATTTATAAAGTGGGGAAATGTTTTTTCATTAGGACATCTCCCGTGCTAGTTTTCCATACTCACACTTGCCTACTCATTACATGATGCTTGCATACTCATTGCATGCTTGCAACTCACCACTTGCATACTTACACTTGCATACTTCCACTTGCATACTTTGACACTTGCATTGCATACTTTGCACTTCACTGCTTTCGCTCTACGTATAGCGTTCATGTTGTCCTGCAAGTGTGGTGAAAGTGTCAATGTCTAAGTGTAATTAAGTGTCGAAGTGTCAGTGTTCAAAGGATTTTCCGGAAGAACCCTTCGCAATGCTTTCGGGAAAAACATAAGAAGTGCACAACGTGGGGAAGCAAGCGTTCAGCCTACTCCTTTTGGTTGGCCCTTGTGGGCCACAGATCCGATCCTTCGGAAGGCAGAGCTCCAGCCGCTCAGTCGGAAGACCTCTCAACCGGACCGCCGGAGCTCGCAGCGAGGCTCGGCGCGTCGCAAGTGGCGTCCGTGGGGGTGCCGTTGTGCCAAAAGAGTCGTGTACTGATTTCTGACTCTTAAAGTGAGGTTCTCACATCAGAATCTTTGTACTCTCATTCGGAGAATCTTTGGGTGGTGTAGAATTCTTAAAAACGGTAGGATTGAAACGCCGGTGGAGACTTTGGTAGGGAGGAAGAAATTGACGACATATTCGGGGTTGATCTGGATTGTAGACCTGTACATTTGAGAGAAGCCCCCAGAAGTTCTTCCCTGTGAGAGAAGTTCTTTCGGTGGTTCCCTCTTGGCGAGTGGATTGGGATTGTGCTTGCATGCGAGGTGGACCTTTTAGGACTGATGGAAGACCGGAATGCCTGTTCTTAGCGTTTTTTTAAAGCGTTAAAAAAACGAACAAGACATGTTTGAGCACAAGCGTTTGATGCCGCCGGACGTGTTTAAACAAATCGGTGGGAGAAACATCCATGTTGGATTCATCCATGTTGGTGCGCCCAAGCACCTGTCGTCATGTTTGGACACTGCTGGATCCAGCTTTGAGGTTCTTTGAGCACATTCATGTTTATAATAAAGCCGATAATGAAGCCGTTACAAAAAACTCCATATGAGGAGGAGGAGGCTATCCAAATCTGGAGGTTTTGTTCATCAAGAGTCTACGTTGGTCCCGCTGAGGCCTTGGTCTGTGGACCCCGCCGGAGCCCGACGCTCCGCGCGACGCTCGTGCGCTGTGGGCAGAGGAGCCGCGCGAGGCCGCAGCTCCTGTGTACACGGCACGCAGTGTGCGCTTGGCAGTGGATGCCCAAGGCCAGCCGGGCTGTTGACCGAAATAAAACTTGCTGAAAGGATGAGGGTCAATTTGTTTGCATATATAGGTTACTGAGTATTACGGGTGGTTGTGGAGTGCCCAAAGCGATCCTTGGTGTTACCCTAGATGATATATCCAATGATCGCTGCCAACTCATCTCCTGAATGTGGATGTTTTTGTTTTGTTTTGTTAGCGTTGCTGCCGAGGTGCTTCATGTTTCTTCCTCATTTGCTTGAATATGTCAGACTTGCGTGTGCCTGAACTGGAACAAGAATATTGGTTCAAACCTCAACAACGATGGACAGGTCAGATGATGTGAAAATTCTGACCCAACCGAACCACATGTTTCCAACAGCCTTAGACATGCACCAAGCAGTCACAGACCCTCCTACTTAAACGAGACCCTTAGACATGCAACAAATGGCTGTGACTTAAACCGCCCGGTGTAAGACCCCCGCTGAAGAGATCTGTCGTCCAGGCAACACTGGCTTAGACCTGCGTTTCGATGATGACTGGGGCATCCGGGTGCAATCCGTGGACCCGCTGCCCGGGCAGCTGGGCCTGGCCGAAGGAGATTTCATCGTCGCCATCGATGGCGGGGCCTGGTGGAACGCGCGCGGCACGACTCCTGCGGGATCCGGAGGTAGAAACCCTTTGTTTGGTCTCAAAAAGTTTAAAAGAACACTGACCGAGACTAGAGATGCCAGGAGGGAAATTCCATTCAGAACGCAGATCTTTGATGATATTTCTTGTTGTAGTTCCCTTGAGCAACTCTAAGGACCTATCCCGTAGCTGCCGGCATTCAGGTTTAGAATGGTGTTCAAGATAAAGGGGCCTCTTAGTGGGCCTCTTATGGCATTCCAGTACAGAATGACCGAAGTAATTCGACCGTATGGATCTATATATGGATCATTACTCGGTCTAGCAGGTTAGAATTCGATGGAATCCCGCAACGATCCAAAAGTCAATTACTATCCACTATCCACTCACATAATCTTGTTGCTGGAAGATGCTTGAAGATGGTGTTCAGTCAATATAACTACACTGTACCAGGGAACGACTTGTTTTTGTGTGTGTTGTTTTGCTTGAGCAGTAGTGAGCGCTTTTGCAGGCAACCCCCTTCTCTTGAGCAACCCCATGACTCATGTGGCAGGCTGCTCCTTGCGGCATAAAAGCCACGAAGACTGCGATCAGGCCTTCTCGGAGCGGCTGCAGCTGCTGGGCAGAGGTCATGGGATTTGGTGTGAGTGATCGGTTTCTGCTCAGGTTTCTTCAATTACCTAGGCAAGTGCAAACTGGACATGAACATGTTTTTGCATGTCCAGTTTGCACTTGCCTATGGGTGATGTTCTTCGGGAGATCCGGGCGATCGCCGATGACACCTGAGGGGACCACACTTTCGGAGCAAGACGCCACGGACCTCGGAAGACTGTGGATGGGCATTGGCCATTGTGAAGACAGTGGTTTTCCACATCCATAGAACGTGAGTTGGAGTGTAGTCCCCACTGAAGGCGTTGAAAGAGGTTTGAACGCTGTCAGACGCATCAGCGGTACATGTGTTTTGTCATTTTCTATTGTGTTTACCACCAGGGCCCGGCAGGCGTGCCGTCACCCACGACTCCTTTTTGATGCCTTAACTGAGAGGACGCCCTCGCCACTGGGAAACTAGAGAAAGGTTCCAGAATAGAACAAAAACTGTTCTTCACATCGTTTGTGTCTCGTTAACATTCACACCTAGTGTTCTCAAGCAAACCCAGACTCCTGTTCAAATCGGCTGGGCTTAAAACACCGCTGATCAAATACCAAGGAATGGTGCCATTCTCTCTGTTGTGCGGCCCACCGTGTCAACAGTCTCAGCCGGACCATCAGGATACAGCTGCAAGAAGCTTGGACAGCAGTGTGCCTCTTTGTCCCTCAAGTCCTTAAAGTGCTTGTGTTGTTTGCCTTCCACGGCCTACCACAGAGCCACCTGGCTATAGCCGCTGGCCACATCGTTGCGTGCGTATCAAACCCGTGTTCGACCGGGCTCAGGAACGAATCGGTGGTGCCTAACTGGCGATTGCCTCGGCCCGATTTTCGGACACTTGGCCCTGACAGAGAGAGTACGGTCATGATCCACCTGGCGCCCCGTCGACCTTCTAGGATTTTAGGACCCTTGGCCTCACCTTGGACACTCAGTTTGAGCTTTTACGTCCTCGGACTGACTAGTGTCCGATCTGATCCACCTGGCCTGAGAGTGTAACAACAAGGCCTATTTCTGGAGTCTTGCCTGGCTCCAATCCCCTCACTGGACGCCTTTTCATACTGTAGATGCCCATGAAGTCTCCGCGTGCCAGGTCTCCCATGGTCTTCCACAGCTCATTCATGAGACTCCCTTTTATTGGGTCGGAGTTTTGGATAGTTTTGGAAGGGTTGATGTCGTAAAGCTTCTTGGGAGTGGTGAGTTGTACTGTTTGCTGTTTCAAGTGTCCGCAGTTAAATCAAAGAAATACCTTGGCACATAAATCCGACAGAAGCACTGGCAGATGGCCACGGCGTCAGGAATGGTCCCAGCTGGAGTCGGCAGCGACGAGGTGGCCATGATGCGAACCGCATGTGGAACCGCTTCAACCGCGGACCCCCCTGGTGAGGGCCGGGGAAAAAGGCGCCTTTTTCGCATCGGTCACTCATTCCGAAAAGCGTGGACTTCTTGGTGAGTGGGCGGGACCCGCCTTTCCAAGCTGAAGTGTGCGCCTTGTTTAATCTTGTTTATATTGTTTTGTTCTTCATTGCTTCGTGCCATAGGAATTGATGTCACACTTGCGTTCTGTATGTGCATGCATTGGACCACCGACTGGCCAAACTCCGCCGTGCTGAATTTGTCGGGTTTGCGTGTGCCTTCTCAAGCTCCAAGCAGCGCTGTAGTCATAGCACTCAAAATTCAAGTATTTTGGACTGCTTTTCAGCCCACCCGCGCGATTAAATGTTAACAGTGATGGCCAATTCAATATTAAGAGTTGCGTAGCTCACTACCCCACTGGGAAAAAGAAACTAAGCCTACACAATAAGGGCCGATAACAGCTACCATCGCAGAAATCTCCCGTTTGGGCACTGCGGCAAGCATGGACTCAGCCTCAGACAATGGTACTGACCAGTTTCATCTTTGTGATCTTTGTGAGTCTGTGGGTGTTTCAAGATGTTTCAGGTATTTGATTGCTTCTTTAATTGACCCCATGACCAATTGATACCAATTGAACGCTGAACCCGAGCAGTGATGTGTTTGTGAAAAGCCATTTTCGCCCGCCAAGGCTACCGCTGCGATTGTTCAGGCAAGTTCTACGCACGAACCGATGCCAAACCCGCCCAACTGCCACTTGCCTCTCACAAGATGCAGACCGTCCAACTTGGCGACGGCAAGAGAGAAACGTAGAGAAACAACGAACGTCAAAGAACAGGACGGTTTAGATTGATGCTGCAGCAATGGATAAGTTTGCTATAGTTTGCTTATGTTTGCTTGGAAAGAAGTTACGCCGAGAGGAAGAGAAGTGGCGAAAGACGTGAGTTTGCGACCCTTCTGTTTCCCACACATTACTTCAGAAGGACATCACCAAGGGCAGATTCATGCAGATTCCACTTTACAGTCAATTCCCTGTATTCCCAGATGCAGAAGTGAACGTGCCGTCAACATGAACACTGGTAGCTGAGTCGCAGTCCGCAAGGAAAAGGCGATCTCAGGGTCAACAGCTGCCACCTCAATCGGACTTGGGACGATAGATGTAGCTTGCTAAACTTGTCATACCTGACATATTCATACATGACCCCCCACCTTTGGGGCCGTTTGGTCGAGCAAGACCTTGGGAAGCACATGTTGTAACACTGCTCGAACATGTTCTTTCAAGCAGGCTGTTCTATTCATTCATGAGGATGGTGAACAAGCTAGGTCTCAACTATGGAGAAGATGTTCAGGTGTGAACTCTCTTGTGTAGTTTGTTGGAAGCTAACCGAGTGTGCTCCAGTGTGCCAGGGATGGTTTGACGATGCTTGCATTTGCACCGGCAAGTGGGATGTTTGACAAGCAAGGGTCATAGGGTCATGCAATGAACTCCATTGCCTGAAGTTTCTTGGGATGACACATCTACGAAACGAGCACCACACGCACAACACCACTCCCAAATCCCAAAACGAAACCGTTCGCCACAAACCGTGTGAAGGCGGAGGATCCAGGTGCTGAGAGGTCGCGCGGGTGGAGACGGGGCCCGGGCGGGGCACGCAAGATCGCATGCGATGCAGATCAGTTGGAGGATCCAAAACTCGACAACAGCCGGAAAGATGGTGAATACCAGGACCCCCCGGGCCAGGGGTGTCCAATAATAGCTACTTAGAGGTTAAGGGTGTCATTTTCACCAGGCACCCCGATCGTGGGTCCCGGTATATGGTGATTTGGTGGAAGGTATACGACCTTTTAGGATATTTTAGGATCATCATGAGCACATGGGACAATGGACAAAGAACCATCAAAGAGCTCTGGAGTTTCTCCGTGGGTGCTGGCAAGACGACTGGAATCTAGGGCAGCGATCTTGGGATTTTAAATCTTGATGTACAGTATCTAGTCGAGCAGTCGACTGCGAATCCAGGTTGCGTCCACCGAGACTGCAAGTGACTCGACTGCCGGACTCTAACCCAGAATCAAAGGCCTTTCTCCTACCTGTCCAACATGCAAACGATGCAAACGCCAAGGAGGCCAAGGCAGGTTCCGGGCCCGTTCCACCTGCCGGTGTGGAACCAAAAGGTCGCATACACACGTCGCACATCGTCGTACCGTCGCGTTTGCTGGGTCTTGCGGATCGGATGTCCTCTATTTTCCCGAACTGGGTGAATCCCCTAAACCATCTAAACCTGAGGAATATGCATATATACTCTCCTGTTCCTTAAGCAAATCTAGGGATTGTCAGCGCCAGGAGAAAGCTTTTGAGACGAATGTCTCCGGAGCTGATCAAGGAGATTTGCAAAGAACGCTCCATGTGGCCAGAGCTTCAGCAGTGCTGAGCAGTGCACTTCTCCCCGGTTTTGTTGACGCATGATGTGTCCGCCATATGGTCGATACTTTTTGTTTGGGGTAGGGTAGGTAGAACTGTAGTTGATTGTGCTTTCACAGAAGTTTGCCGATTACTTTGTTCATTCTCCTTGTGTCTTGCGCCCAACTGAAAGGACTTCTGTTTTGGCTTGTTCACACATAGATTCAGAGAGGAAGCTGATGCTGTGAGAGCTTCATGAGATTTGACCAAGCTTTGCCCCAGGTCGCAGCCGCACTTGAACACACAGCTCTATTTGAACTACAAAGGCACTGAGAGCTCGAGGTCGTGCCTTCGAGCAATGCTGACTCACCCCGGGCATTACGGGACCATATATATATATATATGCATATTATGTCATATTATGTCAATATTCAGGGCACATTCACGGGGTACTAGTACCATCAAGTACCTCTTAGTAGTAGGGCCCGGAAAACATCATATATTTTGGCCGAGACCAGCAGATGGCCCGTCACATGTCAATTTGAATGTACGAATTGAAATAGCAGAGCCATGCACTAGAAAAAAAACTTCGGAAATGACACCAGCTGGCCTTCTGTTTGCATTTAGCCCACACGACCTTGGATATGAATGCAGCGCCCCAGCGAAAAACCAGAGGGGCGATGTTCGGAGAAAGGACCGTGAAGCGAACAAGCGATGTGTGGACACAGCGGAACAGCACCACACGTCGATGTCTGTCTGTGTGAAACGCCTGGGCCACCTTGTCACATGTCCGCGCGCGCCCGCGAGCAGCCAGGCTTCGAGACGATCGAAGGCTTAGAGGCATATATCAACATCAGAGCTCGGGACCCCAATTACCACTCACTCCCAACCGTCGCATTAGAAGGCATAGCAACCCCGGGTTGACCCGGGGGCCTTTAGAATGAGGTGGCTGAACATGTTTGCAAAACCAGGCGGGTCCGACATGTCAGCTTCCAAGATTCCCAAGGTGGTTCTGCAACTTCTCCGTGCAACTGAGCAAACATCTTGACGGGTCAAGACAGGTATTGAACGGATTGAACTGGCTAGATTGAGTATGGACATCTCATGAGTTGTCCACCTGCAGACCACTTCTCTCGTCGAACGAGTTCTTCAAAGTGTGCGTCCTGGATGTCCCGCTTTGAGGTCGCTGGCCTCACAAATTGGTCCAAAAGTCTTCACACACGGAAGAGGCTGAGGATTGGCAAAGGTGTCCCTTACAAAGTCTTACTCCAAACCAAAACATGGGCAATGGACCAAAGTATCCATCATTCCGAGGAGTTTCAATAATACGGTGCTATATGCATGGAGGGGTTGCCCCTGTCACATCCACTCACTTAGGGACTAGACACCACCCCGGCGTGTGACCCCTGGTTGTTGTTGGGTCACTGAGGCGCTGTACCTTGGCAGCAACAACATCGCCAAGATTGATGGTCTGGGCCCCAACTAACGAAGGTGTTTGTCCAACAGTTGGGGCGTTGGGGCAGGCCCAGCGGATTCAAGAACTAGATGGCACAACCCCCACGATGTCATGGGAGTCCACAAGACCACCGTTGGGGATTGTGCTGTGCCATTTGCTCACTCTCAATATCTCTCAATCCGCTAAAATCTATCTTTGCACTCAGTGGTGTGATTCACAAATCAGGGACTTGCACCTGCATAGTTGCAATGGCAACCCCAGCTTCAAGAACTGCCAGGACCGAAAGATATTCCCCCTCTGAACCAGCCTGGACAAATCACATGGATACACCCGGGAAGATTTACATGGAGCCCGGACATAGACATAGACTCATAGACCTTTGAAAGACTTGTTTCCTCTACAACCCGGTGGGTGTTTTTTCTCAGGTTCCAGGTTAATCTTCCAGGGCTTCCGCTTCTGTCGGTGTGGAAACGTCCACCGCCGTCGTTTTCCTTTGTCAGGCCTCGATCGCATGTCAGACCTCCGCACATTGCACCTGGAGGGCAATCGTATTAGGTCGGAGAGCGTCGCGGCGTAAACGTGTCGCGACGACGTGTAGTCGCGACGATGGAGTTGTTGCAACATGTGATGGAGTTTCAGTGGGTGTTGATGGGTGAGATGGGTCCTCCTTGGAAGTCCTTAGAATGCTGGTGCCCGATCCAAAGGGTCAATGATGGCAAGATCACGGCCACTGTTCATGTTGAGAAGATCCTGAACCTACGAGATGATTCTGATGCATTCTGATGTTGAAAGAATCCAACCCTGCGGAGCCTTCGGCCTATTGATGCGATTTATGGACCTCCGTGCACCTTAGTACTGGGGGCCCAGTACTTCGAGAACCTAAGCTCATCCCTGGAACCTCGTCAGGAGCATCGAGAACCTGAGCTCCAACTTGGAACTTCGTCAGTTGAATTTGGAATCCAATGCCATCAGGTGCGGCACCCGTTTTCGGCGCGGGACCATGTATGATATGTATGGCACACACACACGTATAGATAGATAGATAGATAGATAGATATGTATGATTATGTATGATTATGTATAATGTCGTACTGACCCCTGAACCAACCCCAATGCAGACCCATGGAGTGCTTGGGTCAAGAATGAGATGATCTTTGACTCCAGACATGCACCTGGTGAGACCCAAAGTGGGACTTTCAAAGCGACTGACCACCTGAGACAGACCATGCACGTGGCTCCGCAGCTGCACCAGTCCTTGAAGCAGCCACCAGTTCGTGCCAGGCACCTGGCCAACCTGCCGCAAGCTCAGGGGATCTCAGCGGTGACTTGCTCAGCGGATCCCCCCCCCCTCCACACAAAAAGACCACATCATATTATATGATGATATGTGCACACCTGACTGCACCATGTCCACATGTCCCGTCCCTAGTTCCAGGCTGTGCTTGAGCACCTTTTTTGTGTTCTTCATCGTGGCGGCCATGTGGCGGCGTTCGTGTTGGCTCAGGTCCCATTTGACAAAGCTTCAGCACCTGAATCTGGCAAAGTTTGCTCCTTAGGTTGTTCCCTTTGCTGAGCAGGAGGCAATGATCAAGTAGCACTGGACAAGGAACTTCAACGGATCAGTGATGATCAGTGATGCAAAAGTATCAGGCAGTGTGCTGATACAATTGTGTTGAGGCCCGGGTTAGACACACATACACACAGACAGACAGACAGACAGACAGACAGACAGACAGACAGACAGACAGACAGACAGACAGACAGACAGACAGACAGACAGACAGACAGACAGACAGACAGACACATATACATATACATATACATATATACATATATATACATATATATATATATACATATACATATACATATACATACGCATACATACATATACATACATATACATATACATATACATACGCATACATACATATACATACATATACATACATATACACACACACACACATACACACACATACACACACACATACGTACATACATACATACATACATACATACATACACGCCGGGGCGCGCGCGCGCGCGCATGAGACTCCACCAAGAGAGACGTGAAGAACAGTAGCTGTCAATCCTGCAGTACCACAGTGCATGCAGCACCCGCAGCACGGTTGTGAAGCAGAGGATTTTCATCGGCCGTTGATGGTCCGTTGGGACGTGAGGAATGCCTTGGCATCGTTGGCCGACTTGGAGGAGTTGAAGTCCCTGCCCAGCGGTCGCCTTGGAGAGCGCTGCAGATCTGGTGCGTCTGACAATTGGAGGGCCAGACCACTGTTGCGGTAGGAATGTCCGTTCTCTTTTGCTGCTAGGATCTGGGGTGGCTTATAGACCTCCACTGCATCCCACTACCACTAGTTTACTATGCAGTCAACCATCCTTTGGGTGGGTGCTATGCTGATGTTGTGCGCATGTGGGTGTTGAGGTCTAGAGAACCTGGATGTCTCGTGGTGAGCCCAGATGTGAGGTCTGCCCACATTCAACAGAAGACTTCGGTCGACCCACAGACTTCGGCGCGTTCGTCTCTCCAAGGCTGAGCTGAACCAGTACATGTGCAGCTGTCCAAGCACCAACGAAGCACCGCTGAGGCACAACTGCATCGAAGAGACGGAAGGCGTCATCGAATTCTGGGCTGATTTGCGCGGCCCTGAGAAGACTCTCGGCATCTCTCGGCCAATGTGGCACACATCCCACACAAATTCTATAGCTTTCTTCATCTTTCTTCAAGGTGCTTTGCTTTGAAGCTCAGAATGCTTCAATCAGAATTTCCCCAACCAGTCAGGACTCCACCACTGAGGATTCCCCCATATTTCCTCTCTCGAGCGCAACCATGCTGTCACCAGGACTTGCCTCCGATCCCGGGCCAATTTTTCCCGAAAGCACCTGCGAAGGGTTTTTCCTTAAGCACTGCTGCCTATTTCATCTTCCTTAATCTCTTTCTCTTACTTCATCTTCCCCACTCTCTCTTCCTTACTCTCTTTCTCTTACTTCATCTTCCCCACTCTCTCTTCCTGACTCTCTTTATCCTACTTCACCTTCCTTACTTCATATTCTTTACTAACTTTCTCCTACTTCACCCTCACAACATCATCATCTAATCATCACCTCATAGGTTATTAATCTCATATCATATCATATTATATCATATCAGGTTATAATATCATATCACATCACATCAATGTCATAACATATCATATCATATCATGTTTTAATATCATATCACATCACATCAATGTCAGATCATATCATCTCATATCATGTGATAAAATAATATCACATCACAACATAACATATGAAGTAGAAGTATCAGATCAACAATATCAAAGTACATCAGAAGTAGATATTGATAGGTAGGTATTGATAAGTGGGTATAGACAGGTAGGTGTAGGTAGGTAGGTGTAGATAGGTAGGTGAAGATAGGTAGGTGAAGATAGGTAGGTGTAGACATCTTCCTTAAGACACCTACCCAACTTCTTCTTTATTCTTCTCTTTAGGCGGCGGGGCGGTGCGAGCAGGTCTTACGAAACGCAACCCTCTCGTGGAATCGTGGCCATCGATCGCGCGCGCGTGTGGTGAGACGCGAATCGCGTTTGTCCGTGAGCAACCCTCTGCGGAGATCGTGCGTGTCGATCGCGCGAACGTGTGGTGAAACGTACATTTTTGGTGTGCGCGGTGCGTTCCGCCATTGTAATTCTGGTTTCAAGGTTTGCCCTCGAGCAACCCTCTGCGGAGATCGTGCGTGTCGAGTGCACGAACGTGTGGTGAAACGTACATTTTGTCTGAGCGCGGCTGGGCGCACCATTATAATTCTGGTCACAAGGATGTCGCCAATGTGCGGTCCGGACCGCATACTCATTGGGAAATGCGATTCCAAGGTCTGTGCCCGGTCTGTGCCCGGATCGTTCCCCCATTATAGTTCTGGTCGCAATGATGTCGTGAATGTCACCTCTGAACTTTCTACAATGCGCGCTCTGGACGTCATACTCGTTGGGAACCGCGATTTCATGGTTTGTGCTCGGATCGTTTCCCCATTGTAATTCTGGTCACAACGATGTCTCCAATGTGTGCTGTGGACTTCATACTCGTTGGGAAATGCGATTTCATGGTCTGTGCCC